ACATAAAGTGTCTGCCCGAGAAATTAGTACTATAAAAATTGGAATGAACTTAGGTATAGCGGCGATGTTGGGGACAAGCCCAACGACTATACTAAGTTCTGTATTAACTGAGACACAAACTAATTCTAAAAAATGCTTTAAACTAATGCTTCTTATATACCCGTGACCCTTATTCGTGGCGTGACCCCGACAAAGTCATCGGATAGGCTTTACGATTAAAATGTACATATTAGTTGTTTACGCCATATATCCATAATAATCATAATTGTAAAAACATTCGTAATCAATAAAATTATACATTATAAATTCTAAGTATTTGTGACTACGTGGATTTGATCACGTAGGCCATATAACAAAAATACGTAAACATGTTAATAAAAATACAATACTATGAAAAGCCTAGTATAAGGAGTAAACACGGTTTACTACACCAGACATAGAAAAAACAGGGGAAAAAACAACTTTTTACCATTTTTTTTTATATTCATATTTGGATATCCTTAAAAAAATATTCCATGAAAAAAAAAATTAATTTTATCCAACCAATATAGATATATAATGATGGTACCTGAGAGTACCGTTGGTCATATACTGATTTTCACCACAGTACTGGAAAGTACCGTCGGTCATCTAGCTAAACTTTTTTTAACATGCGTAACATACAAACTATTTTTTTTGTTGTACAAATAAATATATTAAAAATATAAAAAGAATGTCAGACATTAACTTTTTTTAAATTTATAATCCTTGTAAGTGTTTCTAGTGATTAAAATAATAAAAAATATATGAAACAAATTATTTCAGACTTGAAAAGGAACTTTATTCATGATATATATAACCCCGTATATAACTAAATAACAAAAAATAAAAAATAAATGTTTTCCTTATAAGAAAATAATACAAATTAATAAATTTAAAATAGATATTATAACATATTATGAAATTATGCAAAACAATTCTTTTTTTCATAACTAAATAACAAAAAATAAATGTTTTCCTTATAAGAAAATAATACAAATTAATAAATTTAAAATATATATTATAACATATTATGAAATGATGCAAAACAATTCTTTTTTTCATTTGCACATAAAAATATATTGCAATGTGTACATTTTGAGTGAGGTCTTGATTGTATATTTCCCATCGCACAAACTTCACATCTACCTCTTAATTTATCAAATTTTAGACAATGTATACCACGATTTCCAAAACGTACTTCATCAGGGATTGAAAACTTTTTCCCTCTGCGTTTCTTATTAATTTTTGCATTACAATCTGGAGAAACTTTTTTTTTAAACATTCCTCTTGTGGGTGTTGGTAATTCTTTTTGAGTAATTAGTCCTTGAGATAATATCCTTCTGTACTCCAAAAGTGATATAAGACCATTTAATTCTTTATAAATAATAAAAGAATTGACAAATAAAATGTCTAACATTCCCCAGAATAATCTGTGCCACCACTTTTTAGATCTTCTATTTACTGCATATGAAGATCTCAGCTGATCAGCATGGTCCACACCACCCATGTAATTATTATAATCTTTGGCAACTTGTGGACTAGGGACTACCATTGATACACCTTGTTTGTTTTTTCGGAGAACGCTTGTTTGTTCAGAACCATGATAATTGGAAGCAAAAAAAACTGATTTTGTATCCTTCCATTTATAAATGCCTATTCCTGTATTTGAAAATTGGTAATCAACAGTACCTCTTTCCAATTTTTTGTCATCTTGAAGTTCAGGAATACCTCTTCTATTTGACCGTATTGTTCCACAAGCCAAACATCCTTCAGCTTTTAATTTTTCCAATAGACCAATGGATGTAAAATAATTATCGAAAAAGAATAGTTTATTTTTATTCCATTCCTCTTTAGTTAGTTGTAATACAACTCTCTCTCCAAGACCAAACTCTTTGAAATCGTCGAAAATTTCTTCTTTACCTTGATAAACAATAAATTTTTTAGTATAGCCTTTTTGGTCTGACAAGCACCACAGTTTGTATCCTCGCTTTATCGGTTTCATCGGATTATACTGTTTGATAGAACTTCTTCCTTTGAATATAATCATTGATTCGTCTACAGACAATTCTTTGGTTCCACTGTATACTTCATTAAAAATATAATTGAGATGATTTATCATAGGCTTTAGTTTGATTAGCTTATCCTTGTTGTTTGTTGGAATGCAAGTATTATCATATAAATGTAGGTTGGATAAAATTTGATCAAATCTGAGCCTTGTCATACAATTTGATACAAAAGGAACACCTAAATCTTGAGCACCAGACCAATAATGCCTCCAGCTAGGAAGTCTATTATATCCCATAAGAAAATTTATACCAATGAAATTTAAAATTTCAAACGGTTTTACATTTAAGTTTAAATTTTTTTGGGTACCATATAGATTAGTCTCAAAAACAATTGTGTCTAGTAAATTACCCAAAAGTTTTAAAAAAATAGAAGTGGCAGTAGTATCAGGAAAAACATCATAAGCACCTTCATGATCACGGTTGTTGGAAATTTGAGTTATTTCTTGACTTTTTTTCCATTGGCGAAGGATAGAAATATTAGGTTCTTGAGCATCTACATCAACGGATAAATAAGCTTTCTGTTTTTTCAAAGGAGGATCATGAATAACCACTGTGAAATATATGAAAAATTAAATTATAAATTGAATAAAACAAACTAAGTAGTATTAACAACAGGTTGTATTGTTATATTCTGTGGTATTAATAATATTAATTTGTTATCAAAAATTATTTTTTACCACCTAAAGAAATCAACATTTATAATATTATTATTATTATAACTATTATCTTTTATTATCAAGTAGACAAAATGGATTTTCAGAAATTAAAATTTTTAATTCCAAGTTGATTATTTGGTAAAAATTCTAAAAACTAATATTTCTGATATAATAAGACATATATAACTAAGAGGTATAGGTACTTGACATAAGTTGATTTTACAAATTTCCAATACCTTTGTTATTTGATACATGAGTTGATGTACGTTTGGTCACTTTATTGTGTACATTTTTATTTTTTAGTTTATTTGATATAGTTTTATTCTTCTTACTGGGCATCGATGATTAGGAGTACATATTCGTAGAGATCTCCTCTTCAGGAATGATTCTGGTTCCATAATAACCACTAAAACAATTTATATGCTCAAGTATTAATAATTATTAATTATATATTTTTATAATAATTAATTTAATTTCTGTATCACCTGAATCTACGTTTAGATCATCATCAACATTATTCAAGAACAGTGCAAGTGGTGAAACACTTCTTGACTGACGGCTGAGACTACATTCTAACAAACCTATTTTATAATTATAATTATTGTTTTATATTTACATATATAGGTAATAGCTAAATAATAAATAAATACTTTTGTTAGAATGTACATTAGAATACATAAAGTGTGGTGTAATATGAAACTTAATTATTTATATAAGCTATATTAGAATGAAATAACCAATTATTATATTATTTGGGTCATTAATTATATAAAATAAAATTAATATTGAAATATTATAGTTCCTAAATAGGTTTGTACATTTAACTAGATACATGTTTTGTTTTGAGAATAAACCTGACAATGCAATTTTGTCATAATCGTAGGTAAGTCTTATAATGTATAAAGAATACAAATAAATGAGAAACTATTAACAATAAAACTTATTTTACTTCTTCTTTCTGGTGAAAGCAGATATTCTGGAGTTGAGCATGACTCTGAATGGCACACTAATTTTTCGTCATCATTATAATTATTGTATTTCCCTAAATATATAAAACTTTATAAGTAAAAATAAAATAATCAACTAAAATATTTTGTATAATTAAAAAATTCAAGTTCATCATTGTCCGAGTTTTCCACATCAGTGTCAATGTCTGATGGAAATTCTTCGATAAGCCACTGAACAACATTATCTTCATCATTCATATTATATATTATGAAATAGTTTTAATTAAAAAAAACACTAATAAGGATAACGAACTTAGAACTTAGAATAAAATTTAATAAATAATAGGTATACGTCTGAGCAAATAACATCACATTCTTAGTAATTCTTAACAATAAATACGCGCTGTAGTACTCTCGTACTACACTTGTACACTTAATTATTTAATGACGTGCTTTGACGTCTCGTTGTTGATAATAGATCGAGTCACAAAAAAGAAGGTATGTTGAAATAAGTAATAAAATCAATATTATATTATAAGTTAAAACAGTATGTTTTAATAAAGTAAATTAAAAATAATAACAAAGTAATAAGTTGCACTTAAATTTTGAGGACAGAACATAAAGTGTCTGCCCGAGAAATTAGTACTGTAAAAATTGGAATGAACTTAGGTATAGCGGCGATGTTGGGGACAAGCCCAACGACTATACTAAGTTCTGTATTAACTGAGACACAAACTAATTCTAAAAAATGTT